AAAATGATTCAAAAATCAGTTCAGAAAACTTGGCCCTTCTATGCTATGCAGTTTAGTCTAAGAAAACATATCCAGTAAATTCCTTTGAGGTTGGAACACATTGATCTAACATCTTTTGTTTGGTACTGAAGTTGACCTATTTCCTTCATGTGGAACTTCACAGTTTAAAACTCTATTGAATGTTGTTCCTAAACCTAAATGAAATGCAAATTTTTAAAAGGCAACTTTTTCTACAGGCCCCATTGGGTGGAAATAGTTATTCAAAGAAAAACCGAAGAGGTAAACTTCTGTTTCATAGGTCTTTGAATATGTGGTGTTAACATTATAAACTTCAAATAAACTTGATTTAGTTATCCTTTTAGCCTAAGAAGAAATGTAGTGAGGGCCAGTGTACTAATTGGCCAATTAATAATGCATGGAGTGGAGAGGCAGGACAGTACATCAAGTACAAATTCAGGTAATCAGGTAGGTGTGGCACAAAATATGAGTAACAACAACGATATTCACCACTTCATTTTGCAATGCATCAGTAAATAATTCTCTTTTGGGGATGGATCTTAAAATCCATGATTGATATATTCATTGGATAAAATAATAAATGTCATAGAAATAGCCATATAGAAGTTTTAAATATTTGCCATGATACCACGATACCATTCCATGAAAGAAGACACTGAATATACAAGTATATTGAGGTGTTAGGCACACATAAGGTGGTGGCTACCGAGTAGCTCTTAATTTAAAGCTCTCACTCCACTGGGGAGTCAGTAAGTCAACGGGAAGAACATGGAATAAAGAAATTAGAAACTTGGTTTCTTATCTCAAAGTCACAATAAACCAGTTTTAGAGACATCTATCATGGCCCTTCATTCATGCCTCAGTATTTCCACTTGCAGTATTAGGATAATATTTATTTTAGATATTTCCTTAAAAGTGAGAGCAAATGAAACATGAAGTAAAAGCAATTGAGAGCCAGATTTTCCTATAAAAGATCAAGAATATGTATGGAAGTATGTACATATGTATTGTTATTTATACCAGTATTTCAAAATGTATTAAAGTTATCTTTTCATTAGAATTTATTAGCAAATAATTTCATTTCCATTATTTTATAAATATTGTGGATGAAGGGGTATGTGTATATGTGTGCACATGGTGGTTGAGGGAATGTACTCAATAGATATGTCAACCTGTGTGACTAACCCAAGCAGTAGATATAATATCACATGAAATCTACACAAACTCCAGAGTTGTGTCAACTGATCCTTTCATCCCACACCACACAAGTGCATCGTGTTTAGGATATAGACTACTTTATGGAATGGCAAAGCACCTAACCTGCAGTCATTACCTTCAAACTCAGGGTAACCCAGGAGTTAAAACAGACATTCCCTAGATTGGAAATGTCACGTTGAATTCTTAAATATAGGTATCGTTTTACTCTCAATGATTTATCGTTTAATTTTTAAAATTCACTTTCCATTTTCAGAGGAAATTCTCTTGGCCATTTTTATATGAGCTAAAGCAATACCATTCAATCTATTTTTTTTTTCTGAGACATAGTCTCGCTCTGTCACCCAGGCTAGAGTGCAGTGGCACAATCTCAGCTCCTTGCAACTTCTGGAGATTCAAGCGACTCTCGTGTCTCAGCCTCCCTAGTATATGGGATTACAGGCACCCGCTACCAGGCCAGCTAATTCTGTATTTTTAGTAGAGATGGGGTTTCACCATGTTGGCCAAACTGGTCTCGAACTCCTGCCTCAAGCTATCCACCCCACTTGGCCTCCCAAAGTGCTCAATTATAGGCATGAGTCACCATACCTGGCCTCAATCTAGGAAAATAAGCAGTGATGGTCTCAGTTGATTCAGTAACCAGGGACATTGTAATTCCCATCTATGCAGATACTCAGGTCACCCATATTTGCCGAGAGTATACACAGATATTATTTGATTCTATTATATTTATACTTCTCGTTAATTCTTTCACCAAAGAAATAAAGAAGCTTCACAACAAATTTTATGTCAGTGCAATGAAGAAACATTCACCAAAATCTAATGTTTCTAACTGTTAAAATAATTTGGGGGATGTATCTGATGAAGGCATTTAGAAATGTATTCCAAATACTTCTGCCAACCGCTTTATAAAACAAGTAATGAAAAAAAGGCTGATTTTTAAAAAATGTGATAAAATATGTGGTTTTCAAACAATCCCATCAAAAAGTGGGTGAAGGATATGAACAGACACTTCTCAAAAGAAGACATTCATGCAGCCAACAAACATGAAAAAAAGCTCATCATCACTGGTCATTAGAGAAATACAAATCAAAACCACAATGAGATACCATCTCATGCCAGTTAGAATGGTGATCATTAAAAAGTCAGGAAACAACAGATGCTGACGAGGATGTGTA